ACAACTTTGTGGGGTTTTGTGAGCACATGCGGTTAATGTATGAAGACCCCATCAAGACCCAGACAGCTACCCGGCGTTTGAAGGCTCTGAGGCAAGGCCAACACCCCCTGCAGGGCTATATCAGCGAATTTCGGCTGCTTAGCCAGGATTCAGCCTGGAATGAGGCTGCGCTCGTGGACGCTTTCCAGGATGGGTTGTCAGAGGAGATGCTGGATGAGCTGGCCCGTGTTGATATTCCCCCGGACCTTACTGGGCTCATTCATCTCTGTCTGCGGATCGACACCCGGCTGCAGCAGCGAAGGAGTCGCCGTGCCATCCCAGAGACCCGTACGGCCCCCGTTGTGAGTGCAACCCCGGTCCAGAGGGAGAAGCCAATGGAGTTAGGTGCTGCCAGACCTCGTCTATCGGTGGCAGAGATGAACAGACGACGTTCAGGAGGGTTGTGTTTTTACTGTGGGGACCCTGGGCATTTGGCCACTTTCTGCCCCAAGAAGCGACGAGGGGCGTCTGTGACAGAGCTTGTCCCGAGACTGCCATCAGCTCCCCTATCGGGAAACGGCCCACGCCCGACCTGAAAGGCCTTTTGGGTCAGGCATCCCGCACCTCCGAGCCACACCCTTCTGATGCTGCCCATGGACCCCAAAAACATTTGATCTTGGAGGCGCGCCTGATTCTTCCTAAGTTGCCCAAGGGGATTCCTGTCCATACGTTGATTGACTCTGGGGCCACTACGAACTTTATAGACGCAGCATTCGTGGCTCAATGGGCGACTCCCCAATGCCCCGTGGATCCACCAATGTTAGTGGAGACCATTGATGGTCGAGTGCTTCGGTCTGGGCCAATTAAGGCTGCCACGCAACCGTTATGTATGGCCATCAGTACACATGAGGCCATCCAGTTTTATATCACCTCAGACCTGCATTTCCCTGTCGTCTTGGGAATGGCGTGGCTTCGAGCGCATGACCCACAGATTTATTGGTCACAGAACTTGGTCACCTTTCCAAGCTTGCAGTGCGTGGACCACACCCGCCACATCTGTGCCGGTCAGGTAGAGGGGCCCATGGGGGTCTCCTTACCCTCTGAATTGGCGGATTATGCTCTGTTCAGCTAGACGGAGGCGGATCAATTGCCCCCACACAGGCCCTATGACTGCCCCATTGACTTAGTCCCTGACGCGCCTCTCCCAGTGGGACGTTTGTATTCCATGTCGGACCCCGAGTTGGCCGTGTTGCGGGACTTTTTGGACAAGAATTTGGCCCGGGGTTTTATTCGGCCCTCGTCCTCGCCAGTGTCCGCACCCGTACTCTTTGTCAAGAAGAAGTCCGGTGAATTGTGGCTGTGCTGTGATTATCGGAAATTGAATGCCATCACGGTGCGCAACCGATACCCGCTGCCCCTCATCCCCGAACTCTTGGACCAGCTCCATGAGGCAAAGATCTTCACAAAATTGGACTCGCGTGGAGCTTATAACCTTGTCAGAGTTCGGTCGGGTGATAAGTGGAAGATGGCGTTTGGTACTCGGTACGGGCACTTCGAGTACACGGTGATGCCATTTGGCCTGACTAACGCCCCTGCCATGTTCCAGCACTTTATGAACGATATTTTCCGGGACTTATTAGATCAGTTCGTTGTGATATACCTGGACGACATCCTGATCTATTCCCCTGTTCTGTCCCCGTCCGACCCACACACCCAAACAGCCAGCCGAAGGTTAAAGACTTCTCCAGACACCACTTCACCAATAAGAAACTTGGCAGCAGCTCCGTAGCTGCCTGCCAAGACCTTTTACTCCAAGCACACAGAAACAAAAAACAATACACAGTTTAAAGCCACAGCAAACTACTTCGCCAAAGATTCAGCTTTTGTCCGTCACAGAGGTCCAAATGGCCACCACCTCCCTTTTATAGCCTGTGGGGTGTGGTCCAGTGACTCAGCTTAATCTCTGGCACGTCTCCTTTTCTGCTGTGCACGCTTGTCGCTCCTACGCTGGCGTGGATCCAGCCACAACTTCTCTTCCTCACTATCTGAAACACCTGGCTCCTGGCCAATCTCAGAAACACTTGGCTCCTGGCCAGTCTCAGAACCACCTGGCTCCTGGTCAATCTCTTCTCCGTCGGGAGACACCTGAGGCCTTGCCAAAGAGGAGGGTCCTGGAGAGGGAGGCCTGGCCATCTCCTCTCCTTCATGTTCGGAGCCGTCTTCCTCCGATAAGAGGGGCTCACAAGACGGAGCCACAACATCCCCATCGCGAGAGGTGCATCATCAGCATCTTTGTCAGGTCCTGCAGCGGCTCCAAGAGCATCGCCTGTATGCTAAATTAGAGAAGTGTCAGTTCTACAAGACGACTATAGAGTTCTTGGGTCACTGTATTTCTCCTGAGGGCATCGCCATGGAGCCGAGTAAAGTTGAGTCTTTGCAGAGTTGGCAACCCCCACGTCGTGTGAAGGATGTCCAGCGACTTCTTGGGTTCGCCAACTATTACCGGACTTTCATCCCCGGGTTTG